GGAATTCTCATGGAAAGCGCAGATAGAGCTGCAATGAGTTGGAGAGCCAATAGAGGAAGAACTCTGGAAGGAGATGGCAAGTATACGGCGATCGGAGTTGGAGTAATGGTGAACGGAGGAGAAAGAATGCAGGCGCACGTGGAGTGGCGAATACGGAGAAATGTCGGCGCAAGATGAGCGGAAGCCGAGCGGAGGGCGAGTGGAGGTGGTGGTATCGCGAGTGAATAGCAAGGGGTTTGGGGGGGGCGGTGGGTGGCGAAGCTGTCTGTCAAGGTTCGTCGCGCAGCGCGGCGCGTGTGGCGCGAGCGTGGCTTGCGGGGTCACGCAGGCGTCGCGTGGCGGCGGCGCGCGGGGCTGGGGCTGGGGCAGATGGCGAAACGAGGTGCGCCGCGCGTGCGGCGATGAGATATGGGGCGGGCGCGCTTGCTTAAAGTGATTAGACCGAGACCGAGTTGCTTGGAGTGAGAAAGAATCTTGGAGGGGGTGATTTATGAAACAATGGGAGGGAAGGAAGGAGTGAGAATTCAGTTAAACGTCGCGCAACAAGATTATAAATTATATTACGTAATTCGGTTTAAACAGTGTTTCCGTGGACTGGAGACACTTTCTGAAAATGAGTTGAAAATTATGCTAACCAATTGTGATGCAATTAATTGAAGTAAGTTTAATCCTGATTCTCATAACTTCTGTCATGGTGAAAATAAAAAGAACATAAAGCATATGAAACATGAAAAATCAGTTCTGATAACATGACAGAGAAAACATTATTTATTCTCTTATTCTTGAACAAATTATTGAATTGAATTATAAAAAGAAGATGAAAATGAGTTTTATTGAATACTACACCTCCGTGGGCAAAAATACTTCAAAGGCAAATGATATATTTATGTAATAGAAAATAAAGCATCGCCCCGTTTAATATCCCTAATCGTTGGGAGGGCTCGTCGAGAAGGCGCGCTCGCCCCGCCCCCGCGTCTCCGCCTGCCCGGCTGCTCCGCCACCCCCTCTTCCCCGCAACGGAGCTCCCCTCGGGCGCTGGCGACTGCCGCTGCCGCTGCCGCCTGCCACTGCCGCCTTCCACGGGAGCCGGCGGAAGTCCGTTTAGCGTAGCGCGTTCATTCGCACAGATTTTATTTACTACTGTAAGAGTTGCTTTGAAGGTCGCGTAGCGTCCATGATTTACATATAATAGTCGTATGTTACTCTAGAAAGTCCGAATTCTTGTTTTGTATTGAGATCCAAAGGTTTTACCCAGGTTTGATTAAGAAGTTGACTTCGTAAATTGACGGTATTTTTTAGTACCCTATTGTTGCTTCTAAAACGAATGAAATTGATAATTATTGCTCATGCATTGTGCGTGCACTAAAAATAAATGAAGCACTTATTTACAGCAGCAATATCCCAGCTGGTTTAGTAATTCTGAATAGGTCCGTAACCGCAAAATGTAATAAAAAATTATTAAATTTTCCAGGAGAGTTTACAAACTAGATAGGCTTTTCGAGTTTCAAATTAGACTTTGAATTTTAACTTATTTTATGTCGTTAGTTTCATACCTTATCATTACAATGAATAGACTTTGATACTTTTTAATAGTTTTTAAATTGTTTCATAAACATTTTGCCTGAATATTACAAATTATTGGTATATAACATTTTGTTTTTATAAAAAAGTAAAAAAATATTTTTTAATGAGACATTTTGTAAGAGGGTGTATTTGTTAACAATGACTACTGATGACAAAATTTCAATATCATAAATTATGCGTGTCACAACATTTTGCAGTTTCATGAGCGATACTTGTATAAACTAACGATAATATTTCTTGTTAATATGAGTTACAATTGCATTTAGGATGGTGCCGAAGGAGACTTGGAAATACACGCTTTACAAAGCGCAGTTTATGAATGGATTGTATTGATCTTTTGTAAACTATTATAATTCCTAATACAGCGACATTACTCATTTGAAGTGCCTTTCACCGAGAAGAAGTTCGGTGGTACTAAACGTTGAAGCTTCCCGCCTAGTCGTCCGCAGGGCTTCAGATCGCCCCTCGGGGAGCCGGGGAACACTTTCTTTCGGTTTGGCGCGCGCAGACAGGCAGACAGACACATCCCTCAAGCGGGCAAGCGGCGCCGGTCTCCAATGGCTGGAGCGCATTTTTCTGCTTCTTTGCGTGAAGTCTTCCAGTGAAAGTGTTCGTTGTCAATGATTGCAGCTAAAAACTGCTTTTACAGTTTGAGGCATTATGGCAATTGGAAGAATATTGGAGGTCATTTTCGTCAGGTGTTTTACGAGAATATTAACTGTTTAATTGCATAGGTGTATCTGTGTGGGTGGAGAGGCAAAGCAAATGAGGGGATCTTTCGTTAAAAAACACGCCAGGTAATTCGAGATTTGAGCCACTCATTGGAATGTTTTGATTCCTGTATCATGCGGAATTTGATTTACTGCTAGTGGGAGTGCGTGGAAGGTAGTGGAATTCTCATGAAAAGAGGAAACTAGTTGGGTATTGAAATCTTACGGTATCCTTAAGATGTATATTATATGATTTTATAGAATGTTCCTGCCTCCCCATTAGGCTCTTCTCAAGTTAGCGATTTATTTTGTACATTACTTCTAGGCTGTCCGGGTGACGCCGCGACGTTGACAGATAGGCGTCACCCGGACAGCCTAGAAGTAATGGACTCGAGCCGCGAAAGCCTACGTGTATATTTTGTACATGTATTTTTATGGTTTAATAAATAATTTATAAATTATTTTCAATATAAGAAATATGTTTGATGCTTTTATAAATATGTTGCATTTCGACATTTCTTGTGCGTACAAGGAAATTGATCTAATTAAAGATCTTGTACAGTACAGTCGTAATTTCGAAATTCCAAGCACGACACGACGTAATATTTTTAAACAGCAAAGTATAATTTCGCACCGTTTTTACCATTGTCCTCCAGTAAGTTTTCTCCGCAAAAATGCTCCGTTAACTGATTCATCTCTGGATAACGCGGCCGGGGCCGGGGGCGGGCGGATATATTATATTGGGTATCTTAACGCCCGCGGGCAGCTCGGGGCGGGGATTTTTCTCTGTGATATCCCTGCGTTTCCCAGCGCAAGCGCTGAGAGACGGGCTGCGGGCCCGCGCTGTAGCTCGCGCGTTTAACTGTTCGTTTACGCCGCGCGGGAAAGTGGTTTTGCGGGACTGCGAAGCGGCGCCGGGCTACCCCCCCCCCCCCCTGCGCCGTTTAGCGCGACTCGCGAGGAGGAGGTGGGGAGGCGGTGACGTGCCGCGAGCCTTGCTTCGCTCCCGAGGAATTTCAGACTTCACGGTGGGAAGAAAGGATGAGGTGAAGTCCTATCAAAATTTCTTTTGGATTGACAGCTATCTGCTTACAGGGGATATTGAGCTCCGTAGTCCAATTGGAAGCTTCAATTTCATTTGATGTCACAACAGGGTTGTCAAAGCTCATTAAAGTCTGTTAACTGCGTGAGTTAGTTAGGGGTGAAAGTGATCCTGTGTATCAATCGGGTTGTAGGGTGGTGTATCCTTGTGGAGTGCTTTTGCAGTTGGGTTGGTGTATTCATATTTTTTCTTTGATCGGTGATTGTTTTGTACTGTAGTTGCTCTTGGAAGTAACTATTGTATTATTGATACTTATAATAAAGCGAATGTCGGACGTACAATCGCTATTGTTAATTTTTTGTTTTAAAGTATATATGTAAGTACAAAACATCCTAATTAGTCCACCTTTTTGTTATGAAGGAACAAAGCTCATCATATCTAGGCTGCTCGGCTGCAATCACGTGTCTGTCGCGCGGGTGAATAGCAACACTCCTTGTCCCTACCCTCCATTGCCAACCATTATTATTTTTTCCTGATGAGTTTGCATATATTTGTTAGATACGGAGTGTGTCTATTATCCCGTATTGTATCTCTTTATCCCCTTTGAATCTTGAAAAAGGAAAAATAATAGCGCGTGGTTGTTAAGAGTCCAGCGTCGTTGTCTATTCACAGAGGCGTCCGTCCCATGCGGGAGGTGGTGTTCCTTGAGGAAGACGGCGACGAAGCACGTGACGGGGCAGATGGTGGCAAGCTTTCATTACCGCTCCGCCGCGGCCTAACGCCTCGACAGCCGTGCGTCTGCGGCATCTCGATTACGCCTGCAGGTATTCGCCCTCCGGCATTCGCTCTCCACCCCGCCCCCGCCGCGGAAGGGGCAGCTGGCATTATCACAGGCCCCGCGCCGGAATCTTCCCTTTTCTCCTCTGCACCCGCACCGCGCGCGAAGGGGCGGGGCGGCGCGTCACGCTCGATGTGCGCCGCCGCCGCCGCCTTTCTTCCGTCGCCCCCGCCCCGCCCCGCGCCGCCCCCGGACTCGTCCTTCCTGCCGCCGGCGCCGGGAATAAGAAAGGGCGGACGGAAGGGGGGGGCGACGGGTGCGCCTTTATTCGTGACGCGGCGCCGGTGACCGAGCGCCGCCCCACACCGCCTCCAGCCCTCGTGGAGCGAAGGCATGCAACGGGTAGTAGGCGTGCCCACGTTGACAAACAATTAGGGAAGGGAGGCTTCTATAATTATTTATGAACGATAATATTCATTCCTTAGTAACGTTTATCTTAAATACTTTTGAAAAATAAGATTATATTAATATTCCAATAATATGGGTTCTAACAAATCCGTTTTATTCCTTCTAATTTCGAATGCTTACTCATTGAATATTTCAAATAAAATATTTATTTCCGAAAACGGATTCGAAATACGATGTATGAATGTACAGCGTTTCAATAACCTTTAAGAAACCTTGAATGTTCATATATAATTGATTGTTTGCTCGTGCACCATACTTAGTACCTTCCGTATTGTACTGTTGAAAACATCCTCCTCGGAAAACCGTTTCGAAATCCTTGACCTTCCTTCGAGAGACCTCTGGCGGCAATGATGTGCATCGCCCGCGATACCCCGGTCCGAGTGGTGCAACGCGCGAAGAGGGAGCGGAGGCGACTCACCGGAGAGCTGGTTGGCGGAGGGCGCGTCGTCGGGCGGCAGCTTGCCCTGCATCTGGCGCAGGCGCGTGTGCAGGTCGCGCGTGTGGATGAAGAGGAAGAGCGTCGTGGACAGCGCCATCAGCGCCACCAGCTCGCTCGTCCTGCAACACGCGAAGGAATGACTTGCTTTTAGAGGTGAGAGGCGCGACGAAATAACATGTAAAAATTCGTTGGCGCCGCACTTTAATTTATGATAAGTTAATTCAACTAGTTTGTATTCAAAATTGCAACACTTACTTCGTAATAATCAAATTGTTTCCTAAAATATAAAATTAAAGGATGGATATTGAGACAGTAGCATCGATAACAATGAAACATATAAGTGAAATCGATAGCTAAGATTCTGCGAAAAGATAAAATAACATTTAAATATTTCAGTTGCAGTAATACGTTTCTCTGAGATTAAGCGTTTACAGAATTTTACTAGCGAATGCTATTCTCGTAGGTTCGGATGGCATCTCTTTTCAAAAATTTTTCGTCATCAGAAAGTAATAGAGAATTTTACAATATTAATCCTTATTTTAATTTATTTCCTAGATATTGTATGATTACATTTCGTATTCAACATTTTTATTCCAAATGGTACATTTATAATAAATACTGTTTTTCAAATATTGAATTTGATTGACTGAATTCATTGGTTTTTTAAAATTATAATTGCCAGAAATATTGCCAATTTAAATAAAATGTCGAACTTAAATTATTTTTTTCTTCAAACTTTACTATAGTTTTTCATTTGATATATGTTAACTGTAAAACTATTGAAGTTGAGCATGAGTTGACTTTACTGTAGTCAGAAATTAACTGTCACTATTTAATGAATTTCTTGGAATTTGAAGTTTTTATCGTTCAAAGGAACTTTTAAATTGAAGACTCGCAGTTTAAAAAAATGAAATTTGAGTTTGGATTTGTAAGTATAACAACAAAAGTCGATAATTTCATCGTTGGATGAGTCGGCTTCCGAACGATGACATTCGGAAATGACGGCGTCGGCTAGACAGCTGCTCAGGTGCAGCAGACAGTTGGCGGCTGCCAATTAATGTGTTGTTCTGACATTGAACCCCGCACAAATACCTTTTTGACCGATCGAACGAAGCATCCTTTACAGCAGAGCTTTGTTAAGATCTGACTCGGAGGACTGTCGTTATTGATGGATAAACTTCGATGTGTCAAACAAACTGTAGATAATGGATCGTATTTTCCAAAACGCAAGAAGTGCGGCTACTACAGTTTGAAAAATGCTTAAAGAGAACAAACCATGATCATTCATCGTTAGTCTCTGGTTTCCAGCACAAGTGTTTGACTGTTCGTGTGACAGTATATATACTTACACTATTTATGGTGGAACTCAAGAATAATTCCTTCCGCGGGTATCTCATATCTCTATCTCGATTTAGAAATAAATATGACAAATTTACAATAATGAAAGTTCATCTTGAGACAAAATATTTCCCTCCTCCTTTCGTTACGAAACGTGAGATATCTGAAGTTAAACCAGCATAACAAGAGTGTGATTAAATATATTTTTCACACACATTTATCAGACAAAATACAGATTTCGAAAGAGATTTGAAAAACGATTGAAACGATTAGAAATGTATGTGTTCCTCCTAGAACATGTAATTTTGAAACGCAGGAAAAATATTAAAGCGATTTAATTTATTTTCATTACCTCTCGGCCACGAACATTGAATGAAGGCGATGGCCACATACTTTCGCTTGAGCTCCGGAGCGAGGAAAGTGCTCCGGGCCGAAGCCGCTGTTCCGTGCAGTGAGGATCCGCCGGCCGCCTATCTGGAGGGGCGATCTGGAGCGGCGGGCACAGGCGCGGGCGAAAGGGGGACCGGTGCCCTGGCCGTTTCACCTGTGCGCGTCGTGGGCGCCCGTGGGCGGAGCTACGCGGTTCCGCTCGGTCGCGCCGCTTCCGAGGCGGGCTCGCCCTCGAATACACACGGGAGATACGATCTCGCCGCGGTCACTCCGGCCCTTTCCCCCTCACTTTGGCTGGCGGGATTACTGGGTGTTATCCGGGTTTCGATGGGTTTACATCAAGATGAATACATCCGATCGAAGAATTGGAACGGATTCTTTTCCTAGACATTAAACACGAGTTATTTCTAAACTCTTATTCCTCCAACCAAGTGAATTCTAATATTTCAATTAGTCCAAAATTATAGAACTAAGCATATTTTCTTTTTAATTTTGCGTAGGAACGACAAACATTTTTGTAGTCCACGAGTTGATTGTTATATTTCGCAGAGGAAGTAAAGATGTTAAAGTGTAAAACCTTTCATGTTATTTTGTGTGGCGGGTGCAAATAACGTGCTTTATTCAGAGACTTGCGACGACCGTTAGTAGCGTTCAAAATGTAGACTTTGTGTGTTGCGGAGTATCGTTTTCTGGAAGCCATCGTGGTGGAAAGGACGCAGTGTTTGCCCTGGCGGTAGCGCCGAAGGAGCAACCGCGCCCCGTGCTCGTGGCTGGGGGGAGGGGAGGGATCGCTTATTAATGAGAGTGGCGGCGAGCGGCGGCTGCGCGAGGGGAAGCAGTTGATACTGCGCTTTGTGCGGCGCGCGTTGTCGGCGCCGCGGGGGAGGCCCCAGAAGGCGACGCGATTGTGTCCCGCCACAGGCGCCCTCGAAAGCGCCCCCGCACCGCACCGCCCCTCGCACGTCCCAGCCCTTTCCCACCCTCTTCCCTCTCGCCCCCTCACTCGCTCGTTCCTTGCTTGTTTTCTGCTGTCGCTCGTGCCCATTCCTCAACTTCCTCCTCCTGTTCAACCTCTCGCCTTCACTCACATTTTGCCCTTACCGAATGTGAAGTGACCCCTTGCATTCCCACTCGCGCTTGCCCTTACTCCCGTCCTTTTCGTACCTCTTCTGTGTGTGCTCATCGCTTGGCGTCCTTGCCCCACCTCCCGCGTCTCCGCCATCCCTCGTCTGCCCGCGCGAGCACAAAAAGGGCTTTCCTCGGCTTCCTTCAGCAGCGGCTCAGGCGGCGATTCCCGCAAGTGATGGAAGGACCTGCTGGCGGATGCGGCGGCGGGGGCAGACGACTACATCCTGCAGGTGGACTCGATTGCAAGGTGTGCGGGACAGTTTCACACCATCGGCAGAAAGTATATCGAGACGTGCGCTCCGCTGGAAAAGTACGAATTTTACTCTGGCGTGAATGGCTTTATGTCGAGGGGTACGTTGACCATCTTCAAAATGGATACAAAACTTCACGCACGGAACTTTAATTCATGCAAACAGTGGAGGCGAGGGAGGAGGGAGATGAGCGAAGGAATTCGGCCAGTCATCGGAGTGGTCAGTCACGAAGGGATTTTCAAGGAAAAGAGGAGGGCATGAAAACAAAGGCAGGCGTTTCTGCGATGAAGTTGACGTGCAATGTGGCGGGGCGGATGTGGAGGTGGTCTGTTCCAGTTTCCTCGCGAGAGAGGCCTCTTTCCGAGGGAGTCGGCGCGCAAGGCAGGAATTTACGAGGCGCCCTAGAAAGTTCGTTCTTTGCTACTGCGGAGCGAGAGTATCATGCACATAATTAGTGCCATCAGTTTCCTCTCTACATTTACTGCCTACTGTCAATCATTGTACGCGACACTAATTGTCAGTACTCTTGTCGACATGTGGTACGTTACGTGATTTGCAACTTGTTTCGTAATTGAATTACTCTGTGACGCCTGTGTCCCGGGTTATGGCTGAGGGAGCGGCGAGGAAGCTGCCGCTGGAGGGCCTGCTTCCTAAGGCTGTGCATCGGCGCCCGATGGCCTTTCGAGAGGGCGCAAGTCGGCCACGGCGCCGCCCCTCGCCGCAGGGACCAGAAGTTGGCCGCCGAGGCCTCCGCTTTGTGCGCATTATCTCGCCCCTCGACCGCCGCCCTGCGGTGGCCTGCGCCGGCGACGCCCCGCGTCCACGCGCCCAACTTCCACGGGATACTTCACCCGCGATCCCGGCGTTCCGGCATAGTCCCCGTCTCTGCTGCCCTCCGTATGGCGAGGCAATGAAACGGCCATAAAATCCTTCTCTTCCATAAAAGCCTCAAGGGGGCAGTAATTTTTTAAAGGCTACACAATTTACTAAATGTTCCGTGCTTTTGTATTATACATATTTCAATTCCTCGTTTCCGTGAAAGTACAAATATTGTGTGAAATAATAAATCGAAAAACAACTGTAATGTTTTATTTTGCCTTGTTAGTTTTTCACATTTGATAGCAACAAGTTGTCAAGTTCTGGACATAAATCATGTCTCTAATCCAATGTAAAATCGTTCAAAATATGTCAATTTTGTGTGTAATTTTAAATCATTGAGAATCCAGTAAAAGGTAATGTGTTCGTTTGTTGAACAGACTAATTCGGTGCTTGTTTCAATGGAAGCTGGCTCCATGACTACCCTACCCGGCCTCCCTCGCCGTTCTGTTCGTAATGTCTCCCTGATAAAGGCGCTGAACTGCTTCTCGTCACCTCATCACCCTCGCTGGCATCAACTGTGTCGCACCCTGGCCGTCCCTTCGCCCCCTCCGCCCGGGGCCTCTCGCCCTCGCAGTGACGCCGCTTATCGCCCCCATTAGGCGCGCTTATCCGCCCGACCTAAAGTCCGCGACCGCTCCACGCGCGACTCTGCCCTGCCCGTCCCGCC